AAGCTTCCGGAGTTATATGGATAAGTAGGCCAACTTAGAGATGCAGAGGAGATGTTCGATGAAATGCCTGAAGGAGATTTTGTTTCTTTTATCATTCATCTTACTTTGATCATGGGMTCATTGTGGAAGCTAAAAAGGTGATGTTTTTTAACCTGTTTGTACAAAGGATAGRGTATGTTGGACTCCTATGATTGATGGATTCTCAAGAATGGGAAAATTCTTGGGGAGTAGGAATTGTTTGGGACGAAACAAAGGGTCTGCAAAAAGGTTCATTACTTAACCCTATGACCTCCCAATAATGTAGTAACCTTAGCAGTTGCAGGTTCGAGAAACTTAGAGAGCCATTTTTCTGGACATAAGCTGATGACTGAATGAAAAGTATAATTTTCGTATCATTGGAGGTTGCAATCTTACAATCCTTTACATTACCACATCCATCACTACTTTTTCCTTCCCCTTTTTTTTTTGTCGGGAAGTGTTCATTGTTATCAATTTTTACCTTTCATAATTCACAAAATATGGAAACGTGGTCATCGGAGGTTGTCATAGCAGAAACCAGATACTGTAAGAGAAGTTGCTTATTTGAACATGTAAAGGATAGACCAGAGATGTTCTCATGGTTTCTAGTTGGGTGAGTCAAAAGATTGCTTCTCAGCCGGTCAAAAGATGATTACTAGAAATTCTTCTTGAAGGAGTAAATTTGCAAATCATAATTTGATGTGAGCTAAATGGCAACCCGTAAATCTAAATGATCGATATATATTTTGATCACATTCTTGATGACCTCTTTGTTTTGACTTTTGACCATTTCCACATAGATGTTGATTAGCATCATTTTAACCTTCTTCATTCGCTAAAATATTGCACAGCTTTTACAACTGTGCTTATAAATTTGATGATACAATATCTAAACAGTGAATTTTTTTTGGTTCTACACTTGAAGGATGTATGTGGGGGTATATTTGGTCATAACTGATTGGCTGAAGCCTTTTCAATGGTTAGTACAAAAAGAAAAGATCATATAAGAAGAAAGGAATATTGAAAAAAGAGCATAGCATATCTTTGTTCTCGGAGCAGTAGGAGCTTTTTACTATTCACTAATGGAGATCAGTAGCAGACTAGCAGGAAGAGACCAGACCCTTCGTTTTTAATGTTGATGTTGCTTTGCTTTCAGATTTATTCAGAAGCACAAGAAGATCCACCCTACAAGGAGATCCCAGTGAGAGTGATTCTAGATATGGGATCATGGGTTGGAAAGACTGTTTATGGCTGCATTACCATGCCAGTATCTGACTTTTACACGGTCAACCGTCACTACCCTATGTGGATAGTTCTTCACAATAGGGATGCCCATAATGAACGATTGCATGCTATATCTGTTGGTAAGTCTTATGTCTTATTTTCCCTTTTCACATCTACCAACTAAATAACTATTTCAGATTTCAGTTGGAACGCATGTACGATATGAAGATAACAAGTAAATACCAAACAAGCATGTGAAGGGTATGAAACAGTAAAGGTTTCCTATACATTTATATGTATATATATGTAACAGGGTGGAAATACTATGGTGCCTGTGGTGTCAAGGGATACTATGATGAAACACATTTTTTGGAAAGGAAGCCCACAAAAAAATGTGCATTGACATGTAGCATAGTTGGTTAATATCCGTGTTGTATACTTCAAGGTGCAAGTTCCAACTCCTAATACTATTTCCCCCTAGAAAACCCTTTAGTTTAAAGTATTCAATAATTTCTAACTTGACTTTTGTATTAACTAAATACTTTTTGAACCCGAATATTTAATAAAAGAATGTGCAAAACTTATAATAATCATAATTCTTGATTCTACCTAAAATTTGACGACTATAGAATATTTCATCAATTAATATGTTTGAAATTTTGTAATTGACTCTTTCCTACAGCTATTCTAGAAGAGAGTCTGAGTTTAATTATAAGAATAATAACAACTTATAATTTTTTTTGTTAACTTTTTCTTTGTTAATTGGTAAGTTTATCAACAAATATATCTGAAGTTACTTTGCTTAAACTGATTGCTCATTATTTGAAATATTACCGATTAGGATTCATATTCATAGGTGATTTTAAGTTAACGGTCCTAACTTTGCTTCTATGGTCGTGTTATAATTCATCTTACTTTGATCATGGGCTCATTGAGGATGCTAAAAGGGTGGTGTCGTAACCTGTTTGTTTGTTTGTACAAAGGATACAGTATGTTGAATTCATATGATTGATGGGTTTTTCAAGAATAGGAAAATTCTTGAGGCACTGGAATTGTATAGGAAGATGCAACGGGAGGTATAACCTTACTTCTGCAAAGAGGTTCATGACTACGGGGCTGTTTAGTTGGTTTTCCATTAAGTACTGTATGGATAAAGACATCTGTGTGGATTAGACTGTCTATATAGATGGGGAAATTTTTATTTGGGAGGGTTTTTTCATAAACGGAAGCAGTTCTTTTAATTGGAAGGGGAAGGTTTAAAAAAATTCACTTTCTGCATAAAGCTCCCCTCCAAAAACTTACTGAATAAGCATTTTCTATATCATCAAGCCACTACCAAACAGTCATATATAGCTGATCGAATAAGTTGCGAGTCCCATTAAGCTCATTAAGCTGCTAACAAACAGGCCCTTAACCTTATGGGCTCCCAATCATGAAGTAGTAACCTTAGCAGTTGCTCCAAAACTCAGTTGGACGTTGTAGGAACTTAGAGACCCTATTTTGGACCATAATCTGATGACTGATTGGAAAGATATAGTTTTCATACCATTGGAGGTTGCAATCTTACCATCCTTTCCATTACCACATCTATTTCTGTTCTTTTCTCCGTTTTTGTCTTGAAGTGTTCATTTTTATCATCTTTTATATCTTTGGTAATGCATAAATTAGAATATGGGAACGTGGTAGTGTAAGAGAAGTTGCTTATTTGAACATGTAAAGCATAGACTAGAGATGATCTCATAGTTTCTAGTTGGCTGAGTCAAAAAATTGCTACTCAGACAGTCAGAAAGATTTCTTGATTTGCAAGCAACACGTTGATATAAACTAAAGGATCGATTTATTTATATATTTTGATTGCATTCTTGTTGACCTCTTTGTTTTGACTATTTCCTCATTGATGTTGATTGTATTTAATTATATGGAACAAAGAAATTTCCAGGCAGTTGTGAGATTTGTATCCTTCTTAACTAGCAACATCTTAACCTTCTTCATTCACTAAAATATTGCAGCGATTTTCCTACTGTTAATTATAAAATATGAATATATTATATTTAAATAGCGAAAATATTTGGTCAAGACTTGAATGATAGATGTGGGAGTATATTTGGACATAACTGATTGACTGAATCCTTCTCATGAGATTAAATCAATTAAGAGAAAAGATCATAATGAAAGGAATATAGAAAAAAGAGCATTACATATTTTTGTACTCGCAGCAGTAGGAGCTTTTTACCTTTCACTAATGGAGATCAGTAGCAGGAAGAGAATAGACCTTTTGTTTTTAATATTGATTTTGCTTTGCTTTCAGATTTATTCAAAAGCACAAGAATATCCATCCTACAAGGAGATCCCAGTGGGAGTGATTCTAGATATGGGATCGTGGGTCAGAAAGACTATTTATGGCTGCATTACCATGGCATTATCTGATTTTTACACGGTAAACAGTCACTACCAAACAAGGATAGTTCTTCATGATAGGGATACCCATGGAGAACCATTGCAGGCTCTGTCTGCTGGTAAGTCTTGTTTTCCCTTTCAACATCTAGCGACTAAATAGCTATTCCAGATTTCATTTGGAACGTATGTAAGAAGATAACAAACACATACCAAGCATGCATACGAAGGGTACAACACATGAAGGGTTCCCTATGGGTGCGTTTGGTACATAGGACAAAATAGGACAAAACATGGATCAGTGTTCCACGCTTGGCAGGACTTTTATGTGGAAGAAAGTGGAAACAAAGTGGAACAGGTGTGTTCCACCCTCACCCCATGGAACAAGGTGGAACATACCTATATTTTACCAATATAACCTCAAAATAAAACCTAATTGTCTTCTAAAACAACAAATACGCCTTCCTCTTTACATTTTATTCATTATTTAGATTTTATTTATTGTATTTTAGCTCTTTAAACTTTCACTTTATTGTCCTCAAAATATTATTTTTATATGGTTTCTATATTTTGATTAATTTATGTTATTAGTAATAAAAAATAAATATAGAAAAGGTATAAAATAAAATTGGAAACTACATGAACTTTTTATTTTGATGTCATTTTAATCGTCCTAACAAAAACTTTATAATGATATATTTTGTTATAAAAATATTTATTTTATTATAATTTAATAAATTACATAAATTAATCAAAATATATAAAAGATATAAACAACTCATTAGGCGTAAATTGGTCATTTTATTTGTTCTGTCTTGTTTAGTTCTATCTTACCAAACGCTGGACAACTCTTTTGTCTTGTCCTGCCTGTCTGGATACCAAAGTATAGACGGACCCATAGAAGGGCATACGGTGGCATGTGCCACCGTATTATCTCTCTGCCGAAAAGGTTAAGAAATTTACGTTTATGAAAGGTGCAACTACCATGCTTCTTGAGCCCTAAACTATCGAAAAGATTTATTTAAATCCTGTACCAAACCAAATAGACCTAGTAAATCCTATGCAGTGTAGGGTCTAAGGGTAAGATGTACGCAAACCTTACCTCTACCTGGATAGAGAGGCTATTTCCGTGAAGACCCGCAAAACAAATACATAAAAGCTACAGGTGAGAGTGCATACTACCAAGCAAACAAATAATGCATCTGGGCAGAAGGAAGGGAAATATGTCACACAAACAAGGGACTACGAAACTCAAAGCATAGTACAGACAACTACAAGTACAAAAAGATAATCTAAGACTAATGTACAACAAACGGGTCATGCAAGTAGAAACGGTAAGTCAATAACATATACGTAAGGTAGGAAAAACTAAGACAACCCTCTATCGGTCGTAAGGCTTGGTAACCTAACTGCCACCATGCTACCCTTAAACTCTAATTACTCCAAACCCCCTCCCTATGTCCATACTACGGATTCCTACCCAAAGTCTACTACCGTCCATACAACAGATTCTTAAATCGATTGGAAAATTTTCGTCCAAAATGACAACAATAGGAATGGACCTGGTGCTGGTCCCTGGTGAATCCCTATCTGTACTGGGAAATACTCCGCCTCACTCGCTATGGTGTTAACACAGGTTCTCACTCCCCAGTACAAATTCTGTATTAATCATAATTCTTGGGCCAATCCAAAATTCAACAATTTGGGGTTTATGGTTTGATGTTTAGTCATAAACCTTATTTTTGAATAATAATAATATATTGTTTAACATTCAGCTCTTGATCTTTTGGAGAACACGCGAGTGCAAGCAATAGTAGGTCCAGAATCATCGGTTGAAGCAAGATTCTTGGAGGTTTTGGGGGAAAAGGCTAACGTGCCTATTCTTTCGTTAGCTACAAGTCCATATTCCAATCAAAATCCATATCTTCTTCAAATTGCGCAAGATGAAACCAATCAATTTGAAGGCATTGCTGCAATGGTAGAATCTTTTAAATGGAAGACTGTCATCCTTATCTGTGAAGACACTGCAAATGGTAGAGAAATGGCTACTTATATGGTTACTGCATTTCAAGAGAAAAGCATACACGTTACATATACTAGCCTAATTTCAACCTCTGCCAGTAATGATTATATCCTGAACGAGCTTCACAAGCTTCTAACTATGCAAACGACATTGTTTGTCATGCATACATCGCCTTCTCTTGCATCCAATCTTTTCTCCATGGCAAAAGAGGTTGGCATGATGGGTGAAGGATACATGTGGATTGTAACCAGTAAGACTACAAACTTCCTGGATTCCTTAGATGTTGAAGCTATTGAGTCGATGCAGGGGGCAGTGGGTTTCAAATCATATTTTCCAGAATCAAGGGAGCTTCATGATTTTGTGTTGAAATGGAGAAAGGAACATTTTGCTTTAAACCCTTTTATGGAGTTTAAGGAGGTGGATCCTAATGGTATATGGGCATATGATGCAATTTGTGCACTAGCAATGGCTGTTGAAAGAGTACAAACTACGATCCCACGACTAGATGAACATGTTACCGAATTAGCTTCAAAAGATTTGACCACCATTAATGGCACATCTCGAATGGGTGCAGCACTTCTCAACGAGATGTTAAGAGTTAAGTTTAATGGTGTAGGTGGTGAATTCAAACTTATGAATGGGAGAATCGTCTCCAAAGCCATAGAAGTCATAAATGTGATTGGTAAGGGTGATAGGAGGGTTGGGTTTTGGATAGCTAGTGGTGAGTTTACCAAAAAAATAGGAAAATTTAATCTTTCTTCCAATAGTGGCCTGGAAATGATCATCTGGCCGGGAGGGACTCTGACTATACCAAAGCGTAGGAGGCTACAAATGAATGGCAAGAAACTGAGAATTCTTATTCCGGATTTTGGCGGATTCCCAAATTTAGTACACGTGACTGTTGATCCAGGAACAAATCTTCCAACTGCCAGCGGGTTCTGTGGAGATGTTTTTAAATTTGCATTTAATGCCTTAGGCTATGGAGTAGACATTGAATTTACTCGGTTCTCTTATGAGGATGGAGGGACTTACAATGATCTAATTAATAAAATCCATCTTAAGGTACATATGTTTTAACCCAAAGCTGTGGTATCAAGGCACATTGTCATATTATTTGTAGAATAGTGTATATGTAGCCTAATAGATGGTGCGCTATTGTATCAGGAATTTGATGCTGCTATTGGGGATATAACGATCACAGCAAATAGGTCTCGGTATGTTGACTTCACAATTCCCATCAGTGATCTGGGCATTGGCACACTAGCACGAAATGCCAACAAAAGCATGTGGATCTTTTTTGATCCCCTTAGTGCAGATCTTTGGATTACAAGCTGTAGTTTCCTTCTCTTTTTGGCCTTTCTCATTTGGTTTATTGAACATCGTTCGAATGAAGAATTCCAAGGTTCAACAAGACAGCAAATTGGAACAACTCTCTGGTTTGCCTGTTCAACCCTTGTTTATGCTCACAGTAAGCTCTCTAAGTCTAATATCAATTTACTTGGAGATTTGATTTTTTTAGGCACCAATGTTTTTCACATTTGTTACAAATACCCACAAAAATTATTGTTCTTGGATCTGCAGGGCAGAATCTGCAGAGTAATTTGTCAAGATTTGTGGTGACTGTTTGGGTTTTTGTCGTGCTTGTGCTCATATCGAGTTACACAGCAACATTGACTTCACATTTAACAGTACAACAGATTGCATTGAAGGAGGGCTCTATCGGATTCCAATCATTTTCCCCCATAGCAAGAGGAGCGGTCTTTAACAACTTAAAATTTGCTGACTTCAGGATGGAGAAACTAAATTCATCTGGGGACTATGTTAAAGCATTAACAACTGGAGGATTTGCTGCAATCATCGATGAAATCCTTTACATCAAATCAGTCCTTGCATTGTATTCGGCTGCAGACTTCTCCTTGGTAGCAACATCATCCACCACTAATGGTTTCGGCTTTGTGAGTGTTCTTTTATCCTCTGGGCTACTTCAATAACTCTAGTGCATGTTAGACATAGGGATTTGGAGATGATTTGTGCACTGGATAATCTCATTGGAACGTGAAAGTTCACTGTCCAAATACAATAATTCGTCTCTTATAGCCTTGGGATCAGGAATTTTCGTATTGGGATAATCCAAGAGAAAACACTATATCTCAAAAGGCTGTGAGATCAAGTCCTTATATATACCCAGATTCTCGTTTACATATTCATATGAGAGATTGACAGCTATGGACGGTTAAGAGCGGTTATAACCGTTAATGGATAAGATTACAGAACAGGTACAACTATATTCGAACTTTGACTGTACCAAATATAAGTCTGGTTGCACAGACCTTAAGTCTGATTTCACAGACCTTAAGAGGCCGTTTACTAAATGATTACCGCCTCTTACTAGGTAAGGGGCAGTTTGGTTGAAATTGTTTGTTTGGATTAATCTGTCTGTATAAATTGAGAAGGTTTTTGTATGAGTGGGGTTTTTCATAGACGGAAGGAGTGTAATTTTTAATTTGGAGGGGTTGGTTTGGGAAAAACTTGGCTTTCTGTATAAAACTCCTTTTAGAAGCTTACTGAATAAGCCACTTTCTCTATCATTAAGCCACTACCAAGTCATGTATAGCTGAGTGAATAAGCTGTGAGTCTCATTAAGCTTATTAAGCTACAAATAAACAGGCCCTAAGAGATGTTTATCCAGTAAGAGGTGAGGTTGTTTACCATACACTCTGACCAACAAATGACGTTAACCAAGATGTTGACTTGGTATGGAAGGAAAGGCGAGTCTCCTTACTCGATCAGCACTTACCCAGACCACACTCTTACCGGTCAGCACCTACCAAGTTTTTGTTGATAAACGGCCCGAGCGTAATTGCTCAGTCCAGATTGCAGACTTAAGTAAATTTTCTACCAACTTCGGGATTACCGCCAAGGGGCTCCTTATGGCGATCCGAGATGATAGGGGCAACATTTGTGAGTGTGCACTCCGCACCTCCTTATTTATGTCTGCCTTATCATTTTAATTGCATTTTTTTTTGGAAGGGTGTCCCAAGTTATGACTTGACTAATCTTGGTAAATTGTGACCGCAAGAAATCAGTTCTGATAAACTCAATGGCCATAATTATTGTGTAGGCCTGGAACCGATCTTGAGCAGATGGGATATTCTTGTTTCCATGTCTCATGGAGCTACTTTTGCAGGCGTTCAAGAAAGGTTCGCCATTGGCCCAAGAGATGTCGACTGAGATAGCCAAGCTACGCGAAGACGGAACATTGAAAGCGTTGGAGGATAAATGGTTATACGGCCAATCTTCATTGATGACAAACGGTTTTTCTTCCTCTTCCCCACACATATTGAATCTTCATGGGTTTCGAGGTCTGTTTCTTATCAGTGGGGTGTCAATGGTGTTGGCCCTTTTGGTGTCCATAGTTTATCGTGTTCATGAAAAATGGCGTGGCAAAAGTAAGATGCAGATACTGAGGTGCATATTACGAATATCTACCAGTATACATGTACAAGATAGCGAAGCGAACTAGTAGTTTGGCTCTTTTATTTGGCTTATAAAATTTATGAGGATAAAGATTCATGTATGTAATTATACTTTATGAGATGAAAAATGGTTTTATGGATTATGGGTTTCAAATATCGTGGTAGAAGTAGCATGTTTTGTCATCCTCCCTCTTGATCCTTGGCTCTTATTAGGTATATGAAGCCTGTGAGAGTTTTATGGAAAATGTGGCCAACTTAGAGATGCAAAGCAGATGTTCGATGAAATGCCTCAAGTAACCAAGTTTTTGTCTTTCTATCTCAGCATTTTGTCGAAGAAAAAAGCGTAGAAAAAACTACTTTTTTTTTAGAAATGACCGTTTATCTACCGATAAATTACTTGCTGGTGATAAATTAAGTAACCGTAAGATTGGTTATAAGTATTATTAACAAATAGTTCCAAAGAGGAAGGTTCATTTGCATGGTTGTTTTCTTTTGCGAAACGGGGGAGCGCTACACGTGTCTCTATTTGTTTTCATTCATCATAAATAATGAATATGAATTTGTTACCACATTCATGAATTCATCATGAATAGTGAAGATGAATTCTTTATTCTTTACATCATTCATGATGAATGTTATACCATTCATGATGAATATCCTGTGAATGTCTGGGACACGTGACACGCTCTCATTTATTGCAGTCGCTAGCTCCAAATATGTGAAAAGTAAATATTGTCGCACTCTTTATCTTTTTTCAGGAGCTCGAGCTAATATTGTCGTGTTAATTCTACAAAAAACATTTTCATCCTTTTTAGGTAATTCAACATTTTCTATTGTTAGATTTTTCTGAAATCGTTCGAAACCCCCTGGTCTTCGTTAGAAATTTTTTGTTATTTCTATTTGCAAATTGCGGAGACTATTTTTATGTCTCAAAGCTTGGTTCGATTCATTGATCGATAAAGTTGATCTCACAGTTTCAAGTTACAGATTTACAAATGGATTCTTGATGATTCTTTGTTCTGACCATGATTGCATCAATTCTGATGATTTATACCAAACAGTAGACTTTTCTCTCTTCCAAAATAATAAATCCTTGCTAGAAATACAGCGTACACGTGTCTTTTCTTTGTTTAATGGATGTCTTGAAATAAATGTCCACCTTTAAATGTTTGTGTTTATTTTCCCATCCTACCCTTATGAGATTGTCAAAATTTCACTTTCTATAATTAAGGGTAAGGAGCCGTTTATCTAAACACTTACCCGATAAGCACTTACCGGTAAAATTCAACACTATCGTTTACGTACCGGATAAGATTTTATTCACTAAAACGCATCGTATGCAAACAATTTATCTCGGTAAGCGTTAACCATGGTAAGAGTCATCGTCCTCACTTACCGGTAAGACTCTCGATTCTTGACTTCGCTCTTACCGGGTAAGATTTTTAGTCCTTGCCATATTCATCCGGTAAAGTAAAGTGACTTGGTAAGCGCTTACCCGGATAAGTGTTTGGTAAACGACACCTAAAATTGTTCTTTTATTAATTAAAAAATATAATGATTACAGATTCTTCAAAAAATGTGTTTTACATTGTATACATTTATTTTGGAAGAGAGAAATGAATTGTTTACCAAACGCTTACCCGGGTAAGCGTCTATCGACTCACATTACCTTGCAAGGTAAATATAGTAAAAACCAAGAATCTTATCCCGTACAAGCGAGGTAAGTGAAAACGATAACTCTTACCACGATTAAAAAAGAATTATTTTACGGTGTAGTTTTTTTACAGTTTGAGATTTATGTGATATGGTCTATGGTTTAACAAAATACTTAAACCATATCAAACCGTTTTTAATATAAAAAAAATATAATGGACTTTAGTGTTTAAAATGTTAAAAAACACGTAATGATGTATAGGTCAAACATCACCCAATGGCCAATGCCCAGTGGTCAACAGTCAATGTCACATCGTCACCGACATTCTTTTTTGGGTCGGATCTTTAGCTTAACCATGGCCCATTTATCTTCGGCCATCGTCATCCTAATATCTTCAAATCAAATCTACCGAGTTTCCAAAAATTACGAGAACGCAGAAACCCTAGAAGTCATCTTCCTATTCCCTAATTTGGGGGTTTTCTTACCTGGTTATGGATTCTCTGCTTGCCACCTATACATCTTCAGATGAAGAAGAAGATCAACAACAATCTCACCAGCACCAAAAGCCTAAACAAAATCAATCCAACATCCCTTCGCAACCTACATCCAAATTCTTCTCGTCTCTCCCACCTCCAAAAGCTCCCCAACAACCCTTAACAGTCACTAATCCATCATCTTCAAAACCCAAGAAGTTTTCACTGCCTGAATATCGATCCGATTCAGCCCTTCCACCGCCCAATTCCTCCTCTGCATCTTTATTTTCTAGACTTCCTCAACCTAAAGCCGAAAGGTCCGACCCATTCTCTTTGGACCCTAAACCTAAAAAAGTTGTTCAGTTTCGGCCACCAGTGATGCCCAAAGTTGAAGACGATGATGATGAAGAAGACGATGATAAAGAAGAACGAAGGAAAAAGGATGATTTCATACCTCAAGCGCCTTCTGTGAAGTCGTTTTTGTCGAGTATCCCTGCGCCGAGGAACTCGGGTTCACTGGGTGCTTTGCCTTCATCAACAGGCATGGGTCGAAGATCGATTTTGGATGATGAAGTACCAGCGTTATCGAATTCAAATGTTGTTAAGGACACAGTTAATAAAGCCAGTGATGATCAGGTAAAGTATGAAAATAGCTTTGTTGGCAATGACAACTCTTCCAATGTGAATTTGTCTGGTGCGAGTTACGTGAATTATGATAATACTTACAATGGCTATGTGGGTTCGAATGAGAATGCGGATGTGGCTGCAACAAGTGCAGATTATGCTAGCTATGATTATAGTAATTACGGAGGGTATGAGAATGTTGATACGAATCATTCAAGTTATGGTCCAGCTGCTCCTGCAAGTGATGATCATGCAAACTATAGTAGTCATGAGGGTTACAGTAATTATGGGAACCATGGGCAGTATGAAAGTAAGTGGATTGATCGTTCTAGTGGAGATTTGGAGCCAGAAATTTCGGGGCCACCTATACAAAATGTGGCTAGGGCACCTGGCAAGAGAGGCAGGAATGAGATTCCTCAGGATGTAATCGAGGTTAGTCAGGATGAGCTGATGAAGAATCGGCCTCGAGAGGACCAAGTCAAAATGACTGGAATTGCTTTTGGGCCTTCATATCAGGTAATTTTGTTTGTCAAAAAGTTCATTTCTAATGGCACTTCATTCAAAAGCAATAATGTTATAAGTAGTTTTATACTAGAGGGTCAAATAATATTGATTTTTGTTCCATGGTGTTTGCTTCCTAGTAACTGAATGAGAGTGGCAAAGAAATCTTGACATGAATTTTTCTCACTTGCTGAATTGAGCAAAACAGCTAGGAGTCATGGAGATAATTCACTCTATGAAAAGCAGACAAAATGGGCTAATTGATGCTTATCATAATTTACAAGGTTTAAAACAATATATTAGCAAGCTAAGATCTTGTAGTATTTTGAAGAAAAACCGCCTTAGTGTACTAAGATTGTGTAGCATGTAGGTGATGCTTTTCACTATTATTACAAAGCCCACTTCACTTGAACTTATAAACACAAGACTCGTCTTGTGAAAAGGTCACTTTAAGGGACTTAATGGCATTGCCTTATTTCCTTGGGATTGAATCAGATACTGAACTTCACTCACCCACATGGATAACTTGGTATTGAAGTTCATGTTAAACTTGAACTGTTAATTATCGCAAGTTTGGAGGTATGATGTTCAGTAATTTTAGGAGTTGTCAGCGGGAATTGACTATAGAGGTTTTGCATGCAAAGAGTATTGTGAAGTGCTCCTAAGGTATCATAGTGTAAGGATATGTGAGGCAAGCCAATCATAAGATGGCTATCTGATTAGGTAAACTGCTTCTTTTGGCTCTGCGAAGTTAAGGTTTAATGGTTTAAGATTAAGCCCAAAAAAAGTGTCTCCTTGTGAGTTATGATTTTTTTGTCCCATAATAAGAAATTAAGAACCTACTTCAAGATGTAACATTTGAATAAATTTGATGTTTCACAATACCCTTCCCTTTTAAAGATTGGATAAGGATACCTTTAGTCAATCTCTAGTTTCTTGTGTAAACTTCCAAAATAATTGTTTTTACTTTTCAACTACTTTTTTGATCTTTAAAGTGGACATTCTTTTGGGGCGGAGGAACTAATATAATGAGGGATGATCTGAAAGTAACAGACCTAGGACCATAAGGTAATGAGAATGGTATGATCGCATGAGAATTGAGTCACTGTTTTTTTATATATTCACGTGCCAAATCTGAAACTCTATTGCAGTGCATGGTGATAACTGAGTAGGAATTTGTTTAAGATTTTGTCTTAGTATGTAATGATGATCATAGACTTGCTTCGACATAGGCACAATGTTGTAGTTTAGGGTTAAATAGAATGTACGGATGAAGCTGGAAACAAGGACTAGATCGTCAAACATTACCTATTGCAAGATCTCAAGCTCAACTATTCCAATGCCCCCACTTGGGGAGAAAATCTCAATCTATAAACTTCCATGGTTCCACTTTGAAAGATGGGATTTTTGTTTTTTCACCGATCTTTTCTTCTCGTTTCTAATTTGACCGCTTCACTACAAGTGCATTTGGTATGTGGGACAATACAACAAGACAAAAAACTTGTTGTCCCACATTGGGGGCAACAATTAGACTGGGACCGGACAAGATTGAGCCGGATAAAAAAGTGTTTTTGTCTTCCCACAAAAATAGGTGGAATAAAATCAGTGAGATGGGACAACTTGGTAAATTACTAAACTACTCATGTCAAATTAAAACCTTAAAACCCCTTCACCTACCCATCTCACTCTCGCCCGTTCAGTCTATTCCTGTCCAGTTCAGTCTCGTCCAGCACTTTACGTGTATGCATATAGGGACATCTAAGTTTTGCATGGGTTATTGTTGTGTTGATACCATCTCTTTTGGATAAGTTGCAGCCTGCTTCTTCAGCCAAGGGGAAGCCGACGAAGCTGCACAAGAGAAAACATCAGATTGGATCTTTATACTTTGATATGAGATCGAAAGAAATGGAGCTTGCAGAGCGGCGCTCGAAAGGGTTTCTTACGAAAGCAGAAACACAAGCCAAATATGGGTGGTGAGAACCTTTTCCCATTACCTGTTGTTATCTATTCAAGTCTACAAAGCCAAAAGGCTTCTTTGCCTGCTGGCTACTCTTCCTTCATGTTTTGCCATCACACTTGTTAAAAGGCAACAACTTTTTCATATGTTGATTTTGTGTAAACATTTTTTTCTTTAAATGAAGAAGGCTTGCAAAGATTTTTGCTTTTTTGTTTTCTGAACTATGCCCTCAATGTTTCTTTTTTGGATTAACCTTGATATCCAACCCACTATGCGAGCCGACTAATCCAGGATGACCACCACTGCCCTCGATGTTTATGCAAGGGGGATGGGGAATTTAGGTATTTCACATTAATGAGTTTTTAGTTAAATTTATAACCTTCTGGCCTATTAATGGAAAAATGGCTCCCTATGTCGTAGATTTATTTAAAAACTCATTTGAGGTTATATACCTAAATTATCTTTGCAACCCGGTAACCCCTGCACTGGTCCACCCCAAAGAGCATCATGCGGAAGGCAAATTAGGTACGCAACTGTCCTCTCAATGTTTCTTGAGAGTACATGGACAAAATAGGACTGCGAGGGTGAGAATGAGGTAAGCAAAAGAATTACGCAAGGTTTTAGGGATTTTAATTTGACACGAGTGTTTTAGTATTTTACCAATCTGTCTCTATCTGTCCGAGTATTTGGTGGGATCAAAAAGATGCATTTTTATCTTACTAAGCTTTGGGTATTAATGTCGCATCAAATATGGGGCATATTTTTGTTCGGTCTAATCCTGTCCTGCATACAGTTGTAACTGATAAATTATTGTGATTTGCATAGTTTATGATTGATCTATACAAGAACAATTTAAGTATGCAAATGTACATCTTACGACTATCATTGTTTTAGTTTTCTTAGACGTAGTTATTTTTTGGTACCGAAGGAGCAGGAACTGCCATTTTAACCCTTCTCGAGGATTCCGTCCCCAAAACCAAATTTATCTACGGTGGAATTTGACCGGTTTGTGTCGGTTTTGTTCAAACACGTAAAAATGGTTGTAACGACATTAAATTATCCCTGCCATGACCTTTTCATTTTTTTTGGCAAAATAAGAGCTTGAACTAATCAAAACCTTTGATATAATTGAAATCCTGTTTAAATGGTCGATCGAATAGAAATACAGTTCACAAAGGAATTGACTTCGACTTCGTTTCTTCACTGCGAGGCCAAAAACGTAGTTTGAAGATTCTAAAGATTTCGAGAAAATCTTGATGAATTATGTTTGATTTTGTTGACGAAGAGGTATGAGAGAATACAGGTTTTTAATTAAGCTTAGTTTTTTGAGTTTATTGGAAAAAAAAAACCTGCCCGGTTTTTCATAAGCTTAACAGATAAGCCATCTTTTTGAAACGCTAGCGTTTCAACAAGTTGAACCATGTGTTTTTTCACTTTTTTTTAATTACGGTCTTTTATATTATTTTTTTAGGTCATTTTACACTGTCATCTAGTTTACGAGTTAAATTGAAAATTGTAATGAGAAAGCAATAAAAAAAGAGAGGATAGATTGTTGGATTGAATTTGGAACCCCATGGGGTGATCACACAAGATGGTAACAAGAAAAGAAGTCTCAAGATGTTTGCAAAGCAGCAAATGTGCCACCTCTCATCATCTTTCTGAACTCTCCAAAATCCACCACCCCATCTCCATCCTCATCCACCATCTTGATCATGAGCCAGCATTCGTCGATGGTTCGACCCTGTCTCAGCCCGAGCGACGACAACACGGACGTAAGCTCGTCAACCGAGATGAACCCATCTCCGTTCTTGTCAAACACATTGAATGCCTCTCGGATATCCTCTTCTTCATCCCTTTCCTGCATTATTGCTTCATGGAACACGTAGAACACTTGTTGTATTTCCTCTTCTTCGTCCCACTCCTCCATTATTGTTTCATACAACCCCCGAAACTCCTCCATGTTCACGGATCCATCACCGTTTGTGTCGATATGATCAATCATGTGTCCAAGATCGTCCTCGGGGATGTTGATCCCGAGGTTTTCAAGAGACATGGTTAGCTCTTGAGTGGTGATCTTGCCGTCGCCATTGTGATCGAACATTTGGAAGAGATGATGAATCTCAGAGAGATCCATGAAGAGAGATTGGAGGTTGTAGAGATGTATGAAAGGAGGAGGGTGGGTGGGAAGAAGCAAGAAAGGTAGAGTTGTGATCAAGATCAAGATCAAGAAGATGAAGAGATTTCTATCAAATATGGATTTTGGGGGAAATTGGTTTTTAAAGAAGAGATTGGAGGATAAGGAGTGAAGACCCATCAAAATCGTACTTAGAATTTTTTGGGGTTTTCTTGGTGGAGATTAAAGTTGGTTAAGAATACCGTACACGTCGTTTTGTAATACGAGTCTGAATGATTCGAGCTTCTAACGAGCTAATTGAGTTCCGAGCTTAATAGTAATCTCGAACACAAAACACAGTTCGTCCGACTTAATGAGTCGAGTTCCATAATATGAATATTCAATTCGACTCGTTCGAAAGCTTTTAAACGTTATGAGTAGAAATGCGTCATTCGAACATGCACTTTTTCGAGTCAAACGTATTTATATGTTTATAAGTTATATAATCAAAATATATAAATTATCGAGTTTGAGCAAATAAACGAGTTAATTGCTCTCGAGCTCGGTATTTTGAATCTGAGTTAAAAAAATAAAAAAATTATTCGAGCTTGAGCTTGAGCTCGAGCCTGATATTATTTTTTCAAGTTGAGCTGGAATAGTCTGCTACTCGACTCGGGCCCCTTTGCCTATGAACTACCTATTTTGTGTAGCATTCATGATAAATATTTATGAATAACCTATTTTGTGTAGTATGGTGACAAATATTCATGATGAATGTTTATGTCGTTAGATATATTTATGATGAATAATATTCAATATTATTTTAGGTTATTTATCATGAATACTTCATAAACTAAGTTCCTTGATCGAGTGTTGTTGTATGATGTCAATGATTGATATGCACTTTAATATATGGTTCTATCTTGCATAGATGCTCTTGGATGTTGGAACCACAAATGTTTACAAGTTGTTTTCTTTCTTTATATAAATTTTTGTTTTGAAGTTGGAACCATAACTTGCCCTAACCTACAAGAGTTGGGTTGGGTTGGGTTGGTTTATACTTTTAAATTACTGAGTTGGGTTGAGATTTTCCAACCTGTCATAATTGGGTTGGGTTGTTAAAATGTCAAAAACCGTCCAACTCAATCCGCGTACACCCCTACCTAAAATATTTAAAGTTTCTAAATGAACCTTCTTTTTAAAGCGTAATGCTTGTTTCATAAACAGGTATTGAACATTGTGATTTTCAAAATCGAAACTGATATTTGTAGATATTACTGATTACGTAGAGGTTTAAATAAGAAAGTTAAATATTATGAGAATGTAAAAATGAAATTTTCATATATAATTACAAAAAACTTCATTTGAAAATGCATCTAAACCCATGTAAATAGTTTATGATGTGAGTTATATTCATCTTGAAATAACTTTTTTTTTTTACATTTTTTCAATAATGTACACATCAACCTTTTCTTGACCAAATGATCAAAGATAGAGTAACCTATCTTTACAAATTTTATAGGGTTTTTGCCTTTTTTTTTTTTTATTGGTAAAAGATGTGAAATAACAACCTATTTTTATAATTTTTTTTTATTATAGTATTCTACTTTCAGTTAATCTTATTACAGTAATATACTTTCATAATATTTTTTACTAGATCATTGTACTTTCAAAAAAATTACCCGTTATAGTATTGGATAACTTTTTAAATTAAATTTACCCATTATACCAGGTTTCTTTGCCACCTCATCGTCTATGTAGGCTGTCCACATGTACGATAACGATGACATGACATTTCATATTATAACATTATACTTTCAAAATCATTTTATTATAACATTACCAATTTCTATTACAACATTGTACTTTTAATTTTAATATTTTTATCATTTAAACATTGTAAATTTGATCAAATATGTTTCCTAAAAATTATAATAAATTTTATTTGAAATTATAATATCGTTTTTTTATATTTGTTTTTTGGCATATTATATAAGACAAAAGACACCCAAATTGATAACTTTTGTATAGCATTAACATATTTGCAATAATATATCAAACAGTACATGAATACTATAATATTATAATTTTTAATAAATATATTTGATTAAATTTACAATGTGTAAATAATAAAAATATTAAAATTAAAAATACAATGTTGTAATAGAAATTGGTAATGTTAGAACCAACCGACCATAATCGGATCCGATCGGATCCGATCCAAAATTTCAACATCCAAATTGTATCAGTCGGTTCATGGCAGTTAACCAAACCGATCCAATTCAATTACCATCTAATTAATAACTATATATAATTATTAATATTTTATAATATTGTTTTTAGTTGATTTTTATATGCATTGTTTTTTTAATAAGTTGAGAAAATATATGAATAATTGATTGAAAATTGAATCAAAATATTAGATGAATCCAATTCGATCCGATCATCCATTGAATTGGATTGGATGTCCAATGTTACTTGAATTAAATAGAATGACAAAATCCAACACCTAATGGATGATTGGATCGGATCAAATCCACCTAAATCATTGTATTTTAACCAATGAACACCCCTAAGCTACACCAAAGAGTACGGTTGTTTCCGTGAACACTCCTATTAAAACTGTTTATATACGACCCGAATAGACTCAAAAGAGTTGAAACAAGGCCAATCATGTCAACTTCATGAAAACTAGGTTCACAATGCCCCCGGCTGCTAGTCGGTTTACACAAGTTACATCGTCCGATTGAATGCAGGACTCATTGTAGATACGACTACAATGCATTTTAATAATGATGAAAGATGCAATCTTGTAAAACAAAATGAACAAGAAGATTTTAAATGTACGGCAAAAGTAGATGGATAAAAAGGGCAGTTGATATGGAAATACGAAACAGACAACAATACCACCATGGAGTTATACACAAGGTTCAGTTAGGGGTTTTTCATTAAGCCCTGTATAGATAAAACTGTCTGTGTGGATGAATCTAGCTGTATAGGTTGAAAAGTTTTTGTTTGAGAAGGGCTTTTCATAGATGAATGGAGCGTGTTTTCTAACTGGAGTGACAGGTTTAGAAAAAACTTGGTTTTCTACATAAAGTTTCCCCCTAGAAGCTTACTGAATAAGACATTTTCTATATCATTAAGCCACTACCAAACTGTCATTTATAGCCTTTCATTAAGCTGCTAAAAAACAGGCTCTTGGGATTCCTAGAGTTAGCAGAACCACCAGTACCACCAAAAACCACTGCTGCAATCCACCTAGTCCACAATGGGAAAAGTTGTATTCCAGATTGCTATCGATTAGCAAACAGAAATGAGCACAGCCCTACACCTGGATGGTGATGCTATATTGCAACCCAAGTGGGCAAAAAAGAGGTTGGTATTTGGTAAATGCCAAGAACTATTCCTCACTTTTAGCAATTTACCAAGAAAGTTAACCTCAAAGGATTATTTAACCATACAAGAGCAATGTTCATGGCTGTCTAAACTAAAGATGCTGAAAAATACAAGAAATAAGAAGGCATACTTTGTATAACAAGGACACAGGTTTTAAATGGAGTGAGGTATGATGTAGCGTTGAACTCAAGCCTTAGGAGCCAAGACGTTTTTCATGGCGGCAAATATGTATATAATCACACACACACGTTTATTACTCAATGATTTGGTGATATTGAACAATTTAAAATAGGTTATATACTATAAACTAAGACACTCAAAAGGGAAAAGAAATCAAATAAAGCCTTACAAAATGGCGCACCAGGCCATGGCATGCCACAGGCTTAACATGGCGACGGAGATGAGCCTTGAGCAATGACATGCCATGGTGGCTGCCGTGGCGAGCCTTTTAGAGCACTAGATGATACAAGGAGGTTCAAAATGAGAATGACAAAAAGTTTGAAATCATGAGAAATGATCTCAACGTCAGATGAGATTATCCTAACGATGTTATTACTTACTATAAAGTTGGTAACAACAGTATTTTTAAAGAGTAGCTAAAAGACAGACCACAGATGGGTCCATTATCCAACAATAAAAACCGCATGGATGCATTCTACCAAAATTACATTGCAAAGAACTATATCTACCATACGTTACATGTTGAAGTGAACTTCATGTTGTTAAAAACCTATTGTGTTTTTTATAGATGATAAAGAAGTAGTATAGTCCACCAGAACAAAAGACAACAAATCTATATGAACTTATTGTGTTTATAAAGAAGCTGAAGGAGTAGATGCTAAATAAATGGCATCAGAGTGCACAGCTTATTGTATGATAGAGAAAAGAAAGACAACAGATATTTCCAGCCTAGAAACTGCGAGTGTTGCTGTTCCAAGAAAGGTGCTTTGAGGACTTGCATGAAGAACCTTAAGGGCTTGTTTGTTAGCAGCTTAATGAGCTTAATGTGACTCACAGGTTATTCAGTCAGCTATACTGTTTGGTAGTGGCTTAATGATGTAAAAAGTGGCTTATTCGGTTAGCTTCTAGGGGAGAGATTTATGCAAAAGCCCAAGTATTTTTCCTAACCTGCCCCTCCCAATTCAAAAACATGCTCCTTCGATCTATGAAAAAACCCTTCCAAACAAAAACCTTCTCAATCTATACAGACAACTTTATTCATGCAGGACTTAATGGAAAACAAACCAAACAGCCCCTAAGTGTAGCCAAACAATTCACTTAAAAATTCAAGGGCAACATCATGATAAACTCAGATAATACTCCTAAAATGCAGAAAGACCGACAATATTTGATTACAAAAAACAGTTTGCTGGTGGTGGTTTTCACTCCTCTAATTCCCAACAAATTCGAAGGCCACAGATCCTGGAGAAAATCCTTCTTCAACAACAAGCTTCTGTTCCTCAAGAGGAACTGTGGTAGTGTAATAAAGAACTTATATAAAACCCCATTATAAAGATTTATCCTAGACTTTAATCTCGACCGTACCACTCTTCCAGCATTACCATATCATGTTGAAGCAACAAAACCATGAAAATTTGAAACCCGGGAGCTTCTTTAAAGAGTAGTAAAGCCACAAAAAGTCAAAGCCCACCTTAAACTTTTGAGATGAAAGGGATCGACGTTAAATAAAGGGAACCAAAGTACACAGCTTATTAGTTGACAGCGCAAAGAAGTCACTCCAAGACAACAAATTTCTCCAGCGTAGAAACTGTGAGTTTTGGTGTTCAAAAATAAGGTGCTTTGAGGACTTGCATAGTTGCATGAAGCACCCAAGTGTAGCCAAATAATTCACATGAAGATTCAAGGGCATGATGATAGAGTATCTTAAAATGCAAAAAGACAACGATATTTGAACTTTGATTACAAAAAACTGTTTGCTGGTAATGGTTTTCAACTCCATCTAACCCCCAACATATTCAAAACTCTCATATCCTCTAAATTGATAAATATAAAGAAGCAAGAGCAAGCTAGCAACATGCCAAGGCACTACAAAATCTTGAGCAAATCACATTAGATAGTGTTCAAGACTGCTTTCGCACTGTTTAGCTCGACTCTCCAACAGAAAGAACCTATCTTTGACGTTCTCGGGCGCCACTCAGCTACTCCCAAATAAGGGCCAAGATCTATATTCAAGTCTAATCTCATTTTTCGCCAAAAGATATCTGGTTCTCAAAGAGATATGCTTTAAAGATTGAGGTGCTAAAAGCTACAGAAAACCTATAGGTATCAGAAGTGTGTATGCAATTAATGTCAATAAAAGCATTGCCCTAAAAATTTCAAGAATTCCCTCAAGCAAACTGATGAACTTGATCTTTCACTAACTCAATTTATTCCAATTATTCCCTAGGTAGGGAGCAAATGCTGCACACAGTCATACTCCATAATCAACACACAACACCACTCAACAGTCTTGTCCGTCCATCCTTAGCTACTTACAGCAACCCATAGGCACATACATTTAAGAAAATAAACAAGCGGGTGTAAGTTATCAATTCATTAGCAGATAAAAGTTGGATATAGTGAAACAAAATCAAATTATTCATAAACATCCAAACATAAGTAATAAGAGTCAACTTCGATGAACTCACAATTACATAAAAAGATAAAAAAAGTTTTAATGGTAACAAATCAAAGTACCATTCAAGACTGTTACTGACCGAAATTATTCAATTTCCAAGAAGGCTCAACTCCACATTGACCTTACGGAGTGTCCCACGGCTTAGCCTCAGGAACAGCAACAACCATCCCTTGCATCTCCTGCGTGAGTACGACCTGGCACCCCAACCTCGAATGTTTATTCAGAATCCTATGCCTTGCATTCCTCTTCAACACATACTGCTCGTCGTAGGTCGCCGGCGGGAGTTTCCCAAGCCACTCTTCCGCGATGTTGACCTCGCACTCGGCGGAACAGGCATCGATGTCCTCGAGACGATGGGAGGCGGGATCGATGAGATTGTGGTTGCATAAGGCTTTGAGAAGGGTTTGACCGGTGAGACCGATGATATCGCGCTTTTGGCCGTCGAAATCGTAGGCTACGAGCTTGACGATTCGATCAGAAACCTTCGCAGATGAAGATGATGTGGCAGATGAACGTGAGATGATGGCGCGAGAGTAGAGAGAAAGGGTAGGGTTTCGGGAGATTTGGGAAGATAGTCTGTGTAAACTGGCGATCGCCATTGTTGGTTGGGGAGAAGAGAGGGGAAAGGAAGGGGGCCGATTTGGGGTTTGATAGGTATTCCGGATCCATATGATGAAAACGTGACCGTACTTGTACCAAACGCATAAAGACTTGTACCTTACACACCATTAGCAAAACCTTCATTTCGTACGGGGTAAATTTGGACATCCATCTCATTTTTATTTTGTACAAATGGAACTCTTTATTTGTGTTCCGACAAGAAAATAAATGCAAGAAAATAACTTTTTTTTTGATAAATCAGAAGATTCAATCTGTTATGTTAGTCGACTAATCGTAGGACGTTCACCTGTTTTACAGATAGCCCGAAGTCACCATATTTAAACATCTGTGGCTACAAAGAGATTTTTGTTCCTACTTGAATTTGAACTTGGGATTTCCAGACACTTTTGACCTTTAGAGCCCAAATTCAAACCAATCAAACACCACCCTTGTGGTTAAGAGAATAATTTTTTGTGTTCTATAACTGATGAGAAAGGAAATGCAAGGTGGTGTTTTTATAAATACTAGTTGTGTACCCGCGCAATGCGGCGGGAGCCATGAATTTTAACGATTTTGAAGTTTCACTGGTTTTATAAGATAAGATTTAACGATGATATATGTTACACTTGGTCTTTACATATTAATACAATTTGAATAAATAAGAGTTATGGTTCCAATTACAGACTATCGATGAAAAAAATTGTATGACAGTTTAAAATCCAATATATTTAAAATCCAACATATTTAAACGACTCCACAAATGTGTTCGATTTACACCAAGAGCAAAGAACCAAGAAACTTGAGTTTTAAGATAAACACTCAAAACCAATAAAGAGAACTACAAATTTGACAGATCATAAGCCATGAAAAGACCCAAAAAAATGGGTTTTAGAATGAAATTTCAACTGCTTACCCTMTTTCTTGTCTAGAAACTCAGATTAAGGTTGAATTAATACATGTATATATATATTTCAAAAAAACCCAAGAACATATTAATTCAGAACATATTATACAGTGCAATTTGGACAGTCTAACCCCAAAATATATAGTATATGTATAAATAAATAACTATAAAAGTATAAATCGTAAATATTAAAAATATTTTTTCACAATATATATAATAATATAATTAAGTCAAAAACTATTCAATATTTGACTCATTTCGAAGATATTAACGAGACGATTATAATGGTGTAACTTGTTAAAATAAAAATGTATTTTTTTAAACATGTTTTAATTGATATACGATTATGTATATTAATTTGATAAAGGTTTAAAATGAAACATTTAAAGGTGAAGGACGTAAAGTAAATTAATTAACTAATTATAGGGGTATAAAGTGTAAATTTAAAATTATAATTTTTAAAAAATCTTGTGAAAGGGTGAGTGTATGTGAGAAGATGAGGGCCTGAAGAAGTGAAAAAATATAAAAAGTATTTTAGTCATTTAGTATTTTAAGACTTTAAAACTTTTGTTAAATTTGCTTTATAAGATATTATAGATATTGTTATTTATTTACAATTATGGGCCATATATTGTATGGTCCAAATGTGTGAGGTAGTTTGTTTTTCTATACTTATTGATCTGATAAGTTTAATGAATTATTTGTTTCGTTGTTTTCTTTATTAATTAATAAGATGTTATTAAAATGTCAAAGGAAAAAAACGAGCTTTTATTGATTAAGGCACCAAATTTCAAACCAACCCTTTGGGGAAAAGAAAAACGAGACCACTTCACACATCTTGCTCCAATCGTCGTTCGTGTATCTCTTTTTGTTGCTCCCCTCCTCATCCGCTGCTCGTTGTCTGTGTTGTTTCCCTACTTCCTATATGTGCTGCTCTCATCTTGATTCGTTAGTAATCTCTCTTTACCTTAGTTGGTTGATTCTAAGAGTGTTACAAATACTGCATAATTTGCAACACATCGCTCTAAAACGTATGGTTTAGAACTTATACGGTAGGATTCACGCTTTGATTTGCCATATCATGTTTCAATCTGGACACGGAAAATAATTTTTTTCAATAACGTTGTGTATTTATAGTTACACAAGTCGAACACAACATCCCCACCCAATGCAAACTTACAATATTGAGTCTATGCCTTTAGGTGCATGTGAAGTTGTGGACCTTGCATAGATTGTGAGGTTGGACATGGGCATGGTAATACGGCGGGGATGGGGTGGGTTTTGTAATCCCTGGCTCCGGCCTCGGTTTTTAGTAACAGCCTCCAACGGATATGGGGATTAACATTCTGCCCCTGGTCAAACCTCTTGAAGTCCATTTGGACCATTTCCTTTCAGTTTCTTATTATTTGAAATCCAATAACAATAGAGGCCCATTATCAGAATTTCCAAAGCCCAAATACTTATTAAATGGGAGATGCCGTATTTTGTTATACAATTGCATTTATACAGCTACTGTCATTTTACTATTTTGTTGCATTATACATATTTATTTCCCTTTTCAAGTACGAAACAAATCGGGTGGACTCTTCATGGATGGAGAGGCTTTTGAATAGAACGGGAGATTCTTGACAATTGTGTTTTGCTTGTGTTTGTTATATTTTTTGACATTTAAATGAAGGGTTGGATTCACGTGAGACCAGCATGTTTTCGTGAGACCACTTTTTTACAATTGAAACTTCACAGCAAAATGTTGTGAAGGTAAAAAAAAAAAGTCGAACCTTCATAGTGAAAACACTGTGAAGGTTACTTTCACAACATTTTGCTGTGAAGCTTTAAGTGTAAAAAAATGATCTCACGTGTCTCACGAAAACAAGATGGTCTCACATGATCTCAAGTTTTTTTAAAATAAATATCGCATTATATTATCTTTGAAGCTTATAATTTGATGAAATATGGACCTTGAGAAACAAATTCCTAATTTTAATTTTGTATTCAGAACATTTATAAAACAAACATTATCTCATCTATTAATCTATATTTTGTAAAATCATTGCTTATTTCTTTCAGACTGTTTATTTAGCACTGAAAATAGACATCCATTATCATAATTCAGACAACGTCTTAATTCAAACTGAGAGCTTAGTCCAGGCAATGTTCATTGAAAAAAATAATCCCTCACTACGATATTATTTGTTAATACTTGTGTTTTCTTTCTGTTACATTCTTTTTCATATAAATGAAGTCATGATTTTTGTTTGACCTCTAAATGAAAACATGCAACCATAAGGGTGGTGCTTGATTGGTTTGAGCTTGGGCTCCAAAGGTCAAAAAGTGCATGGAGGTCCCAGGTTCAATCAAAGAGGATTATAAATCCCCTTGTGGTCACAGAGGTTCAAATATGGTGACTCCGGGCTACCTGCAAAGCAGGTGGTCGCCTTAGGATTAATCGGTTCGCATAGCGGGTTGGATATTCAAGTTAATAAAAAAATGAAAACATGCCTAGTTAAATAATTTCTTCCAAAAGGAAATAAAAAAATATAACAGGTTTTAAAAGTTCAATCCCATTAAAATTAAGTGATTACCGAGCGTATAAATATATAATAAACAAAGTGGTGTCAACGACACCTAGGATTAATGACGATTTGTTTGTTTTTCTATACTTGATACGCAAAATTTGATACATTAAAGAGTGTTTGTCATTACTGGTCATCGGAATCCTCGAAACTTGATCTCTACACTACACTTTCTTATGACAACCGTACTTAAAACTAAAACAAGCTTCATTTCTCACCTTCCAAATTGCCAAATGCAAATAGTTACCCATAATGAACAGTCGAACTCTGATTTGAATGATTTGATCAAATTAGTTGGTCGTTGGTCGAAAGTTAATTGACAAACTGACATGGTTATCCTATTCGATCTCCTTACACTGCCCATTCGCATATCTTCATGTCTATATATGATATTTAATTTTTCAGATCCAGCAAAGAACCAAAGAAGTTTGTTTTGAAATACAGTTCATGTCAAATTTGAATCTCGAGGGGTTGTTTCTCGATCGATATCATGTTCTTCCAACTACTAAACACATGAACAAATAGTTGAACATACATACAACTTATGAGTTTTAAGCAAAATTGGACATACATGCAACTTATGAACAAATAGCTTAACAACAATGGTTGTGGAGGTAGAATCATTGGTAATTGGTGGACGATGGTGGTTATGGAGGACGTGAAGATGGTGGATAGTGGTGGTGGTGGTGGTCGACAGTGATAGAGGAGGTAGTTGTAGCCTATGTGGCGGAGGTAAGTGTGATGGCGTGCAATGGTGGAGGTTATGGTGGAGTTGCTGGTGGCCAACGATACTAGTGGTGGTGGAGATGGACGGTGGTGGTTGTGGAGGACGTGAATATGTTAGATAGTGGTAGTGGTAGCCGATAGGTGGCCGACGGTGGTAGTGGTGGTGGTGGGCAGTGGTAGTGGTAGTCTATGTTGGTGGTTGTGGCTATGGATGGTGGTGGTCGGTGGCCGATAATGGTTGTAGAGGTGGTGATAGACGATGGTGGTCGGTAGTCAATGGTGGTTGAGGAGGAGGTGGAGGTGGCCGACGGTGGCTACCGGTGGTAGCAACGGCCGCAAGTAGCAATGGTGACCATTAAAATAAATATTAAAAGATGATTAATTAGTAATATTTTAGTTTTTGTCTCGTCTTGTCCCATCTTGTTACACCTATTTTGGTGGAACAACACACGCTGTCTCACCTTGTCCCTGTCACATGTCACGTCAAACGTGGAACCGTAAGTCCTAATCTATCATCTGTCATACTAAACGTAGGACAACAAGTTTTATCACGTCCTATCCTGTTATGTCCCATATACCAAACGACTGATAATTTTTTTTCATCCACATGTTTGCACGTCATAAATAGGATGCTTCGAGTATTTCGTATCTTTTCATATTATGGAACAAATTAAAGCTACGATGAGGACCAGCCTATGGATTATTTTGGGTTTTTATGAGCATTATAAATGGTATTATCCTAGTAGGACAATAGAGTACACGTGGCAGCAGGAAACTGTATGAGATGGTGGTCCACGGTGGCGAATGTGTACACGATGTACCAAGTCTACGTGGTAGGGTTATGTAAAGACAAAGACCATGCATTTGCAATAATTATCCTCACATGCCACCATTTCCCATTAACGGCTACAATTAATATTTTATAATACTAATCCATTTATGTATTTAAAAAATATATTATATCATATTATAAAACGTATTTTTAATTGTTAAATAAATAAATAAATCATATAAAACCATTGCTCCTTGGGACACCATTAATATATCTTTTTTTTATTTAAAAAAAATAAATAAATAAATAAACATTAATTAACACGAAATTGATTACCAATAACTTTAATCAGTTTCACACGAAACTCACCTTCAATGACACCAATGTGATAAGGTATTTTTTTTATCTCACTCAGCAACTAAAACTAGTCATCGAACTCGATTCAAAAGGCCAAACCCCACTGTTTATAAGGCATAGAAAGAAGTAAAGGAGGGAGACAGCGAAACAAACTCCAGCAAAAATCGATCTATGTCTCCCCTCCACCCACAAAACGCTTCAAAGGCGATGAACAGCAAAACGACCATATACATACAGCTACAATCAAGTACGAGTTTTTGTCCTGATTTAAAACCAAAATTAACCGATCATATGCTTGATTTAGCTTTATCGATTTAAACTGGTTTTTATTTTAAATATTTGAAATATAAATAAAATGGGTCCTTGGTAAGAAATAATTGAGTTTAATTAGGGACATGAAAGGTGGTGTGTTTCATTAGAAAAACGCCAAAAAATAATTGGTTGTTTTAATCAAATTTACAATCCCCACCTGGTCGCCTGAAACATACCAATCACTTCAAGGATAAAGTTGTCACATATTATTATTTATATCTATAAATATTTTAATTAAAATAAAAAAAAAACATTATAAATCAGTCAAATTTAATAGTTATCAATGTGTTATTTGACAGTTATTGAATGATTTAATGTAGAATGATTAAGTGGTTGGGATGATTAAGAGACTCTCTTTATATAGTGCAAAATGAAATATAATTGTTCGTTAATTGTTTACAATGGAATTAGGGTGCGGAATGGTTAAGGAAGACACATGATACAAAATCATAAAGAGAGTTCTTTAGAACTATTAAGAGACAGACTTTTGTTTCCTAAACAAGATTCACCTCTTAACGATTCAAAAACTGACTCTTAATTAAACTATTAAGATGTAAACAAACAATCTCTAAGACATCTCCAAAATATACTTTAAAAACAAAAATTACTTTCATCTCCAACAGTTTTTTCATTTAGAGACTAGGATATAAATTATATCAGTAATTCTATCAGAAGTAGACATTTAAAATACATTACAATAACAGAATTCACCTAAAAATATATCACTTGAACATTATATCAACCATTGATCCATCTTAAAAGTACACCCATTTTGCAAAAATCCCGAATCCACCACTAAATTCTATTATATCCAATCAACAATTTATATTTCAAACAAGTAAAAAGAAGATAGAAATAAAAAATTGAAGGGGAAGAAATGCAATTGCAAACAGGCCACATGGCTATAGCTGATTGGCAGGAGGTGGACCCACTTACAAGGGCCAATAATTGATCATTCTCCTAATCCACTCTGGACTCTTGCTGGCAATCCGCCTCCTTCTTCCATTCTCCAATTCCCTTAAACCCTACCCTTCTTAAAATCACCAATATTCTGCAGCCCTGTTTTCGCTACAATTAACCTAACCCCCAAAACGCCCAATGCCCTAGAAAACCCCACCTCAAAAAAACATGGCAAATATGCGTATTCAACAACTTCCATTATCATTCTTCATTATCACCCTTTTCACCCTCTCGCTTTCAATTCAAATCTGTGTCTCATATTCTAAAGAATCTGCAACTATCTATGAAATCCTCAGATCAAACGGCTTGCCGATTGGTTTGTTACCAAAAGGTGTGACCAATTTCACTTTTGATGATTCGGGTCGATTTGAGGTGCATTTGGATCAAGCTTGTAATTCGAAATTCGAGAACGAATTGCACTACGATCGGAATGTTTCTGGTAAGTTGACTTATGGTCAGATCGATGGAGTTTCGGGAATTTCTGCTCAGGATTTGTTCATGTGGTTTACGGTTAAGGAAATTCGGGTCGATATACCCAGTTCCGGGTTGATTTATTTTGATGTGGGTGTTGTTCATAAACAGTTCTCTTTGTCGTCGTTTGATACACCAAGGGATTGTTTGGCTTCTACTATGTCGATTTATAATCAGCTCATCACTCAAACTGTGCCTAAGGTAAATAGAATGAAAATATCTTTGACTTTCTTTTAATTTTGACTTTTTGCTATCGAGTTCCACGAATTAACCATCGATTCGTATGAATTCCAAGAATCGCTTTCTGGGTTGTGGAAAGTGGTCAATTTTGAAAAATGGGTTTGGGTTCAGGTTATGAATGAAGCTTGGATTTTGTAGTGAAAATATTTCTGGCTTTTTTTTTAATTTTGCCTTTTTACTAATGAATTCGATAAAATTAACCATCGATTCTTATGTATTCTAAGAATCGGTTTCTGGGTTGTGGATTGTGGTCAATTTGGAAAAGGGTTTGGTTCAGGTTACGAGATGAAGCTTCGATTGTGTAGTAAAAATATCTTTTGACTTTCTCTTAATTTTGACTTTTTGCTATTGAATTCAATAAAATTAACCATCAATTTGGATGAATTCTAAGAATCGGTTTCTGGGTTGTGGAATGTAATCAATTTACAAAATGGGTTTGGGTTCAACATATGAATTAAGCTTGGATGTTGTTGTAAAAATATCTTGACTTTCTTTTCATTTTGACTTTTTGCTATTGAATTCAATAAGATTAACCATCGAATTGTATGAATTCTAAGAATCGGTTTCTGGGTTGTGTAATGTGGTCAATTTAGAAAATGGGTTTGGGTTCAGGTTATGAAATGAAGCTTCAATTTTGTAGTAAAAACATCTTTTGACTTTCTTTTAATTTTGACTTTTTGCTATTGAATTCGATAAAAATTAACCATCGTTTCATATGAATTCTAAGAATCAGTTTCTGGGTTGTGGAATGTGATCAATTTAGAAAAGGGGTTTGGGTTCATATCATGAATTAAGCTTGGATTTTGTAGTTTCTAAAGTCTGACCTCTTTATTTCTGATATGCAGAGCCTATCAAGAAAACTCAGACACCAAAAGCTCCACCATCAAGAACCATCAATGGCGGTTTTATGAATTTGAACTCATTGGGTGCACAAAAGTTGATTCAAATTGGCAACAATATCTCAATCAAGTTAATGGGTATTTCCATTCTTTGTATGTATATGTTTTCTTGAGAAGATCCAAGAATCTTGTGGTGTTGCTTTTTGGGGGTTTTCTTTGTATAGTATATTATAGAGTCTGCAAACAAGTTTGAAATCAACATTTTTGAAGAACATAATGCAGAAGGAAAGCGAATTCGAAAAGTATACGTATTGGAGCAAGAAATCAAAAGGTTGTATGTATATCCGGTTATCATACGAATTTATTTTTACGTTGTTCCGATTCATAGTTAAGAAAATAAAATCGTTCATTCGTGTATGAACCTTGTTTTTCTGTAAAATGTCAAGTATTAGCTCATGAGGTATGCCTACTTCTTGATCAAATGAATAAGGAAATAAGTTGGATCTTTTGTGATGTTTTTAAAGTATATACTTTCGAAATATGGATAGTTATTTTGAGACGGAGGAAGGGGTCATTTACTTAATTGCTTACCCGGTAAGCGCTTACCGATATGAGTCAACATTATGATTTATTTTGTTGCGTAAGATTTTAGTACATTAAAACATATCGAATGTAACAATTTACTGGGTAAGCGCTTACCTGAGTAAGAGTCATTGTCATTTTCACTTACCGAGTAAGACTCTATTATTCTCATCGCTTTTACCCGGTAAGATTCTTGGCCCTTCTCATGTTTATCTGATGAGAAAATTTATCCGATAAGCACTTACCGAGCAAGTCTTTAGTAAACGGCCCCGAAGTAACATTTACATACCGCAAACGTTGACACACACTTTTCCCCTACCCGTACCTGAGATATTTAGGTATATTAGTATATAACCTTAATTGAGTGTCATACTCATATATGCATATAAGTTTAAAGGAGACTTTAATTAAATCCATAACCTTCTGATGAGTATGAAGTTGTTACTTTTAATAGGTCATGAGGTCATGGATTTAATTAAAGTATCCTTTAAACTTACATACGTATATGACACTCATCTTACATTTGGTGAGATTTGAACATTTGACCTTCAAGGATGCTAATAACCCGGGTACTACCCTCTGAGCCACCACCCCTTTAGCTGTTCTTGTAATGTTTCTATTTCAAATATAGACGGCTAGCTCTTTTTTTTTTTTTTTTTTTTGTTTTTTTTTTTTTTTTTTTTTTTTTTTTTGGGGGTTTTTTTTTTTTTGTAAGGGTGTCCGGGCCAAANTTTTTTTTTTTTGTAAGGGTGTCCGGGCCAAAGCCCGACTAATCCCCGGCAAATTTGGAGGCTAAACATGGCCCCACTTAAATGTCGCCAACACTATCCTTCCAGGGCTCGAACTCGGGTTCATGACGGCTAGCTCTTTGCACGTGTGAAATTCCCAAAATCTAGAATACAATTCTATATGTTTTTATGTTGTTGAACATATTCTTGAAAACAATATAGCAAAGGTCTGTGTATATCTTACTCTCTGGACTTCATTTCGAATGTGACATCCTCGATGCATTTTGTTTGGCTTATGTTTTTGTTTTCCATTATGAGTGAAACGTATTGTGCAAGTGTTTAATATATGAATCGACACGTAAAGAAGACGACTAAAATTAATGTCGAAAATTGTGATTGTGACGTAAAAATAGACCCTAAAAGTGGGTGGTTAGTAGATTTACTCACCTACTTGTGCTTGCAAATTGTCGATTGTTTACTATATTTGTAGGTATCCACAATTGGTTGCTTCAAGTGTAATTGCATTATACACATTACTTGTAATATATAAATTTGGAAAAGGAGAAATAAGTATTTTTAATTGGGAGAGATTAATTAAAGTATTTTTTTTTTTTTGCATACAATACCGTTTTGATGGACTAAAATCTTGTCCGGTAAGTAAATGATAGTGTTAAATTTTACCGGTAAGCGCTTACCAGATAAGTGTTTGGTAAGCGACCCCTAAGTCATGTTTTTTTTTTATTAACAAACAATACAAAAATACCAATTTTTGCTAGATAATATTATTTTTCTGTTCGATACTAATTCGTTTGTCGAATGAGATACAATTAAATTCCGGAAGCAACAGGAAAAAATGTTGGAAGCAGGTGTCCAAATTTTTTTTGTTAAAGATAATAACCTATGTCAGAATGAAATAAAAATATATTGACAATTTTATCAGTTAGAAGCGAATGTTAGGTTCCAGTAAGACCAGTTTGTTTTCATGAGAACGGATGTGAAAGTATAGAAACATACTAAACATTCACAAACAGAAACATATGATATAATGTTGGGTATGTGTCCATATTTTAGGCCCATAATTGTGGCCCAAACCAAGAAACAATCCAATCGAAACTCGAAAGCCCGAGATCAGGCCCATAAAAGTTTTGATGGCATGTGAATTTCATGAACCGGTTTAGGTCATTCGCTCCCACATATGATAGATTATGTCTGAAACTGAACCGAAAACATACTAATTGATATCAAACCGATATATGCCATTTTCTGTAACAAATGTTTAACGGTTGGATACTGTTAAAATGGTGCACTGTAAACCATCATTTAGTATGTATACAGAGATGGATGAGAATCTATAAACATTTGTTGTTCAAATGATCTATAAGTTTGACAGGGTAAAAGGTTTTATGGGAAAACGTTCAAACATCTGTCATAATGTAAAATATTGCTGAAATGATATAGTATTAAGACAAATTTTTATTGAATAAGACTTTTACTATAAAAGTCGACATCTTTATAGACTTGATATATTTAATGGTCTTATTGATACAATCACTATAGAAGTGATGCACGAACGAATTTAGGCCCACATCCGAGTCTAAAGAGTTGAGTCCGACATGATTGGCTTACTATAAATAAGTAGGGTTAGGACCAATGGTTCCATTTTGTCTTGATACATAGATTGATTAAATGTGTGTATATATATATGGAGAGATAACTGATTAGTTTGTGGTAACCGTGAGATCCAATGTAAATCATTTGTTTTGAGAAATTTAAGTATATTTCTTAAATAAGCTAAAATAGTAATATAATATTTCTATTTTTGACAGCTAAACAAAATATTTAATTAAAATTAGTTACTTAGTATATTAATTACCTAATATACATCGTATTTTAAAGACGTTTGTGAATCAAAGTGTACCATAGTGATAAAGCTCACAATTTGTGTATCACAATGTATTTTATTTGTTTTATGAAATGTATCATGGTGTGCATTTTCATTGTTTTACAAAGGGTATTACATTGTGCGTCTTGTATGTATATTTGGGTATCACAGTGAATATCTTTTGTAGGTATTACAGTGTGTATATTTTGCTCACATAAGGTTAATTGGAATAAGGTTCGCTGAATAAGATTCGTCGGAGAGATGGGAGAGGATATTTATAAAATCCCTAAAATGTCCTTAATTAATATTTTAAGTTGAAATTATCATAATTATTAATTTTTTAATTTAACCTTTTGATTTGTGGTTGAGATTGAATCACATGATTACCACAAACAAAATAGTTCTCATTTGATTAGACCTATATATATATATATATATATATATATATATATATATAGAGAGAGAGAGAGAGAGAGAGAGAGAGAGGGCGTTCAAATAAAAACCTGCCCCATTTGTGTAAACCGTGTAAACCAATCTCATCCATCTATTTTCTTGATCAATGGCCAAGATTAGTTTACTTTATTTTAGGAAATTAAAAAAATATATATATATATATATATTAAAAATATATTTTATTTCAACAGTGGGGCAAAAATGGTAAACCAAATTTAACATTTGGTAACATCTCTCTCGATATTAACGACACTATTTTCATTTTTTAAAATAATATATTATTTTTAACTTTAAATCACATCCATCAATAAAACATATAAAAAAAAAAAAAAAAATGAATACAACACACCATATTCAATTATATGGAGTGAATCGTTTTAAATTTTGAATTACATTATATGAACGAAATTGGTTTCAAAATTTAATCAACAGACTAATCCACGTAATACTGATCATATTTCGTAATTTTCATTATACTGGTAGATGGATCCGTTACACTTAGATAACGAAATTTTTTCATCGATTATTGACTTCATAAAAGTTTATAATACAACATGAAATTGTTTCACTTATGCAACCATTTCACTTATCAGGCCCAATACTGCCATGAACCAGTTTCACTTTCATGAAAACTATTTTATGTACAGTAATTTTCTTATTTCACTACCGATTTGATGGAATCATTCATTTAGTCCTTACAATCTTGAAGATTCTGGAGCATGTTACAATCTTCAAGATTATGTAGCAGATCAAAATCATTTCCCCGTTTCATCATGCACTTCATTCACGACTAGCGAAATACAAAATGGCTCAACTACACCATCAATGCAATGGGTTCACCAAGAAAATGTTTCGGTTCACATAATTTATTTGCAACAAGACTCGGTTTCACGTTCATGAAACTTGTTTCATTTTTCTTTTCATAATTTATTTTCAAAATGTACCGGTTTCATTTTCCTTTTCATCAACAAAATGGATCAACTACACCATCAATGTAACGGTTTCACCATAAAAATGTTTTGGTTCACCTAATTTATTCGTAACATGAACCGGTTTCACGTTCATGAAACCTGTTTCATTTTCCTTTTCATAATTTTTTTCAACATGAGCCGGTTTCATTTTGCTTCTCATAAAAAAAGGATTAACTATACCATCAATGCAACGGGTTCACCATAAAAATGTTTCGGTTCACCTAATTTCTTTGTAACATGAATCAGTTTCACATTCATGAAACTTGCTTCATTTTGTGCATTTTTTTTGTTCATCTACGTTTTGATGATTTCATTCTATAATTTAATTGTTTCATCAAAACACGTTTCCTGATTATAACTCGTGACAATATATGAAATCCAAATTTTTTATATTTCAATATAATTAAATATTTAAATATTACCATTTATATAATTTCCTTTATTACGTTTTCTTAATTAAAATTTATTAATAACTTTCATATTTAATAGAAATTGGTTAAATTTAATTAGAAAAAAAAAGGAATTTTCATATTGGTCGAAATTGGTAGCATGGTTTTCATTTGAATATGCCCCTATATATATATATATATATATATATATATATATATATATATATATATATATATATATA